AGAAAGCATTGACTTCTGCTCCTGTTGGGAACTATCAGTGACACGCATGTTGTGGGACACTCCAGGAGCCACAATTTTTCTACATGAAACAAATGCTTTCATTGAATAATATATACTGTTATCAAATTTCTGTTGTTATTGTTGTTGTTGTTGATTGTCTTTGAGTCAAGCACGACTCGTAGCGACCCTGTGAACAAAAGACCCGAAGCCCCTCTACAACTATCAACGTTTATCAGCATCAATAGAGTTTCCAGAGGCATATTATTTAGGAAGTGGATGTCACTCCTGCTTCCAAACCTGTCATAGTATGTTACTGTTGTTATGTGCCATAAAGAACTGTAAAGTCCTTATAGGCTTACTTATATTTAAGGAAATCCTCCTATCAAACATTTTCATGACTGTTAAGGACACACCTCTGTTGTTAGTGCTGTTGAGTTGGTTTGTATTCATAGAAACTCTTTGTACAACTGAACAAAACACTGTTTAGTTCTGAATCATCTTTACAATCACTTCTTCCCTTTAGTCCACTGTTGTGATTCCTGTGTCAAACCATCTCCTCGAGGGTCTTCTTTTTCTGCTGCCTTGCTACTCTCTTTAGGAACTGGCCTCTCCTAGTAACATGCTCAAAATATGTGAAATAAAGTCTTGCCATCCTTGCTTCTAAGGAGCTTTCATGTCGCACTTCTTCCAAGACAGTTTTGTTTGTTCTTTTGGCTTTCTCTCATTGACATTAAATTGGAACCAATTTATAGCTTATGTGTAATTGCCATCTAAGTCACAAGGGAAAAGATTGTCCATTCTCAGTGGAGCCTCTGGTGGACATGAACTGCCTGAGAGGTATGGTTTTTGGATTAGCAGTGCAACTCTCTATAGGTTTTGCCACTAGAGCTTGATTATTTGGAAGTCCACAGTATATTCACTATTCTTCACCATCTTTATGCTGTTAAATCACCTTTATAAATATCTTTTCATTAAGCCAAAGACGTTATAAATTAATTTCTAAACATTATCTTGCTGTGTGAAATTCTCAGAAATTGATAATCACCATGCTATACATAACTGCTAAGTTTTCCATGGAGTAGTCTTACACAGTTTTCATCTGTGAACTCCTTTACACATATAATCTTCTTAGCATTCAGGTAGGCATAAGAAGGAGATAAAAATATATGAATTGTATTTTTCTCTTTAGAATACTGGATATCTGCATATAGAATGAAGATCCTAAGAAACCCACACTATTCCCACAATTGCTTATCAGAAGCAATACTCATTCTATGTAATAAAAGGAACAATTATTGAAGTTTATTCATCATTGGAGCAGATAATTTTACAATGCTGTGGTCTTAAGATTTCAGAATTAAGGGTATATCTGTGGGAGCAGAGAGTCTTGGGGGCAGTACACCCCAGATAACCTCACCCACATGCATTTCTTAAACACTGCTTTTCTGTATGTAAAGAGAAAACCGAAAGAAGTATATCATTTTTGTCCTTATTTTAGTATTAAATAGCTGGCTTTTCTTGAGTACACTCTTAAATTTCTGCACAATGCACAGCCTTCAGCACCCTAAGGAGCATAAACAAAGGATATCAGGCAAGTTCACCTACTCCCACTTTGCAGAACAATGCATGTTGTTAACTAAGCAATTCCCAGGGCAGATTTATGATTTGTGGAGCCCAGGATAAGTACTCAGGTTGGTCTTTGGAATCTAGGGTCAGAAGCACGTGGTGCTTGCTCAGTCTCTGGGGCTTTCAAAAACATGAAAATGTGACCTAAAGTTTGTGCTTGCAAGTACACCAGAGACTATTTAGGCATTTAGAGAAATTTAAGTACATCAGGGCCTCAAAATAGCTTATTGTTCATGCTCCAAGAGTTAACCTTTTCTTTCTTACTTGCTTCTATTCCCTTTTGTAAATAAATGTCTGCTGAATTAAATAATTTTATACATATATAAGCAGGAAATGGCATCTAATTCCTAAACAACATGCCTCCAGAAGCTCCAAGAACTTTGATAAATGTCAATAGCTATAGAAAGGCTTCAGGCCTTTTGTTCATAGGCTTAATATAAGTCATGTTCAATTCAAAGGTAAGCAACAACAACAATATACACACACAGACACATATATATGTTGCTGTGAAGCTGAACACTGTGACACTTATGAGTCAAATGTGATAATGGTTACCCATGGTGGACAGTGTTTGGTGCAGCTCCCTGATTAAAATAAGCTTGGAAGCAGGAGTGACATCTACTTCCGTAAGTAGCTTGCCTCCAGAAACCCTATGAACCTGGAGAGAGGATGAAAGTCATGCAAGTGTTGAGGACTTTCATTCATAGGGTTGCTGTGAGTCTTCTAAGACCCGACGGCACTTACCAACAACAATAACATACGTGTGTGTGTGTGTGTATATGTATATATATATGTGTGTATATGTATGTATATATACACATGCATATATATTTATCACACATATATCTATATATACACACATACATAAAACATGCATGTATACATAAAAATATTGTGATAGAGCAACAAATAATATAGACAGGTCAATATTAATATTTGAAAGTTGTTTCCCATTTCCTAAAGAGAATTATGCTTCTGTATGGTTTTATAACACAACTGAATTTTTAATGTGTGCTTAATTTATTCCAAAACTTTATATGAGGATTGAAGATCCAGTCAGAACTAAAATCACTGAAACAAACAAAAGCAGACAAGGGCAGTGCAAAGCTTCCTTCCTCCTGCATTTTTAGGGATTAATTTAGCTAACGGTACACTCTGTAAGTTTACATGACCCTATAAAAGTGCAGTGAAACTTAGGAAAACAGCTTCTCCTCCTTATTGTGTTGTCACATATAAGATTTAAATATATTATTATCCCCATTTTTATTAGTACTACTGGTATCAAGTTATTTAAAAGTATTTAGTAACAGAATCTCATAATTTTTTAAACTTTTTAATAATGATCTAGTAAATATTAGGGAGCTCTGATGGCCTAATGGCAAGGAGCTGTGCTACAATGCTGAAAGTATGCAGTTCGAAGCCACCAGGTCCTCTGCAGGAGAAGGTTGGGCAACTTCCTCCAGTGTGACTAATCGCCTCTGAAAACCTGCCAGAGGGTCAGCTATGGGTTGGTTTCAATTGGACAGTACTCAACGCCAACAACAGTAAATATTAGAATGGGGAGAGAAAGAAAGAGAAAAAGAGAAAGAAAGAAGGAGAGAGAGAAAATAGATAGATACATAGGTAGGTAGACAGACCTCTCCATTTACATATACAGAGGGGTAATTTTTGCTCAATTTTAAACTCATTTGGAAATAAACTGAATACATTCAATAATATGGGTTGCTAGTATAATATAAATACAGTCTCAGCCTAAATGATACTGTTGATGTGTCACTGAAGGTGCTAGGTCATTTTACATGTTGTTGTGCTGTTATGTGCCGTCGAGTGGCTTGCGACTCATAGCGACCCTATGTACAACAGCCCTAAACTGCGCTCTGTCCTGTGCCAATCGCACTGTCTCTGACACTCCCATCCCAATTGTCCCAGTCACTGAATCAATCCACCTCATAGAGGGCCTTCCTCTCCTGCACTGTCCCTCCACCCTCCCAAGCATGATGTCCCTCTCCAAGGACGTGTCTCTCCTCACAACATGTCCAAAAGTATGTTAGGCGGAGCCTCAGAATCCTTGCCTCCAAGGAGCCACCCAGTTTAACCCTTTCCAGGACAAATCTGTTTGTTTTCCTAGCAGTCCATGGTATTCTCAATACTCTTCTCCAGCACCACAGCTCAAAGGCATCAATTCTCCTTCTATCCTCTTTTGTCATTGTCCAACTCTCTGATGCATAACAAGTGATTGTGAAGACCATGGCCTGTATCAAACGCACCTTAGTCTCCAGAGAGACACCATTGCTCTTCAGTACTTTGGAGAGGTCCCTAACAGCAGACTTTCCCATGGCAATGCGCCTTTTAATTTCCTGGCTACTGGTGCCAAGACTGTTGACTATGGAGCCAAGCAAACTAAAGCTGTGTACAATCTCAATCTCTTCACCATCCATCCTGATGCTGCCAATTGGTCGAGTAGTGGGAATCTTTGTCTTCTTGACATTGAGCCTCAATCTATATTGGAGGCTGCAGTCCTTGACACTCTGCAGCAGGCGCTTCAGGTCCTCTTCAGTTTCAGCAAGCAGGGTTGTGTCATCCGCATAACGCAGGTTGTTGGTAAATCGTCCACCAATCTTGACCCCACATTTCTCCTCATAGAGCCCAGCCTCCCAGATAATCTGTTCTGCGTGTAGGTTGAAAAGGTATGGAGATAGGATGCATCCCTGGCGTACGCCCTTCCCAATTTTGAACCATGCAGTGTTCCCTTGCTCTGTTCTGACGACTGCCTCCTGGTCCAAGTATAATTTTCGCATTAGAACGATCAAGTGTTCTGGGATTCCCATTCTTCTCAGAGTCAGCCATAGTTTGTTATGATCTACACAGTCAAATGCCTTTGCATAATCAATGAAACACAGATAGACATTCCTCTGGTATTCCCTGCTTTCAGCCAAGTAATTTTACATAGCATAGATAATTCAAGCATGCATCTATTATTCCAATTGATTTTATGTAAAACTAAGTAGCTAGCCTATAATCTGAACAATTATTAAATATCTGAGTTATATAAGAGTATATTGTTCGGTAATGTGTACAATTAGGTATTTGTTTAAAACTTATTTTAAGAGAACATTTAAATAAATTATAAAGCTGCCTTTTAAAAACTAATGAGATTAAAGTTCAAAATTTCTAGATTAGATGAAAATGGGTAAAAACACCCCAGTCTTCAATTCTGGTACAAATGAAAAAAAAAAAAAAACCCAACAAACCTAAATGTTTGCTCTATGGACGACTGGCTAGGGACAAAAATGCTACCTAACATTTACTGGCAGAAAATCATGTAAAAATTAAAGATTAGTGAGAATAAAACAACAAAAAGAATAGTTTCCTACCCATTGCTTCCCACAGAATGAACTTTTGACATATCAGCAAACTCTTCTTTTCTCTTGCTGCTGCTGGTGTATTGCTCGCTGTATAGCTTGAGGGACATCTGCTCAACAGCATCTCTTTGTGCTTCCAGGTAGCAGAGCTGAACCTCAGCCTGGAGAGAGATACAAAGAGGAAACGTGGCTTTAATCCAGAAGGAATTCATTTCCACTTGAGGTGTAGGAACTCAAGGAATGCAAATTGGTTACATCATTATCCTGCTCATTTTGGGGTTGGATTTAATGAGATTAGCTGGGAATATTACAGAATTATATTTTATATATGAACCTTATAAGCCCCTCCTTAAAATATGACCCAAATAAATGAACTCTCAGCAGACTCAGTATCACAAAACATTCCTGAGATAACATAGTATGATGAGACATAAAAAAAATCTGTGAAATTCTTTAATAATATTACTCCTCATATTGTCACATAAATATTATTTCTATTTTTAAATGATACATTTGGGCACATACTCTACATATTCTAAATTTTTTTCTATTATCTTCTCTGAGCAGAACTTTTTTTAAAGACAAAAGTCTCAACAGTAACTCTAGCAGCTCTTCAATAGTGACAACAGACTTCATTTTTTTGTGTGTGTGTTGTTAATTGTATCAATGCTATAATTTTAAAATAGAAGAAACAGTGACTTTGCTTACACATAGGTTCGAATTGTTAAATCTTTCATTGTTACTCGAGGCTCACTACAGTAAAGGAGAGGTAATAAGTTCACAGTGCTGTTTTAGATCAAACCAAGGCCCGAAGAATGCTGAATAATATTTGGCATGGGAACATACTGAATCGATGCTTTATTTATTGCAGTTGGTGTGATCCCGGTGGCTTAGGGTTCTCTAGAACACCAGATGAAACCAGGAGTGAAATCTCTTCATGGTGGAGGGGGCCATGCTGAGTTCATATGCACCCTAAGCTAAAGGAACTATTATTTTTTTCCTTTGCATACATCACTGAATTTAAACATACTGATTAAAATTGCTACTTCTCAATAGTAAACGAATACTCTCCTTAGAGAAACCATTCTGGGTCAGTTGTTTGATAACAGCCAGAATTCTGCAACATGGAAGAAAAGTTGAATCAAACTTGACCTTTCTATTCTTAATAGCCACAGCAATGCCTGGTCTCTAGTTTTACGTCATTTACCATAGAGAAAAAGAGAGAATAATATGAAGTAGCAGTTGCTTAGAAGGACAAATTATTGTTTGTTGTTTGTTGATTGACTTTGAGTTGAGCAGGACCCGTAATGACCCTGTGAACAAAAGGCCTGAAGCTTTCCTATAACTATCAACGTTTATAAAAGTTCATAGTTTCCAGAGGTATGTTGTTTAGGAAGTGGATGACACTCCTGCTTCCAAAAAAGGGCAAATTAGAACTATGTAAAAGGAAATGAGTGTTTTATAAAAAAGTAGAGTCATAAATCATTTTTGAGCTCTTAAACTAATTCTGTCTATAATTAAGTTAGCTATGAAATACTGTTGTTATGTGCCATCGAGACATAACCAAACTCATAGCTGACCCTCTAATAGCTTACCAAAGGCTGTAAATTGCATGGGAGGGGATTGCCCATCTTTTTCCCACAGAGAAGTTGGTGAATTAGAATATTGTGGGTTTGAGTTGGCAGTCCAACTCCTCAGCACTAGGCTGCCAGAGCCCCTTATTCATGACCTTTTTAGGGAGAACTTAAGAAAGAAAAAAATTCTTATATTCTTATATTTCAATATTTAGATAGCATTTCAAGACTAAAATCTATATAATAGCTTATGTGAGCTTTTTTCTTTACACTGGTTAGTTAAAACAAGAACAAATTCAATTTGATTAAGGATTATATCCAAATACTATAAAGAAAGAATAATGCCACTTGGAGAATAATCAGTTTGTTGTAAGGAGGTTAACTCTAGTGTTATTTAGCCACTTTGTGAAGAAACTAGATAAAGAGGTTTCAGTAAGTCAATGGCACATGTAGAACACTTGAAAGCAATAAGATATAAAAAGAATAATTTTTAAAGTAAATTTGAATACTGAGTCAATGATTAGGAAAAAAAATTTTAAGATATATCTTTTAAAAAATCATGTAACATTTTTATGTGATAAATATGAAAAAACTGATAATCTATGGAGAGTTGATCTTTAACAAAGACAAAAAAAAACCCACCCAAAGAGGAAAAAATATAGCCTATTTAACAAAGGGCACTACTACAATTGGTTCTTTATTTGCAGATTCTTTAAATAGGATCCATATCTCACACCATATACAAAAACTAATTCAAGATGAATCAAGAACCTACGTGTAAATTGTAAAATTATAAAGATCATCAAAGAAAAAGGGAGCAAATTAGGGACCTTAAATTGTGGCATAAACAGACCATGAAACATAATCAAGTAGAAGATAAACTGGATGATTAGAACTTTCTGAAAATTAAGTAGTTACATATATCTAAAGACATTTCCAGAAAGACTAAAAAGAGAGCCAACAGACTGGGAATAAAATTGCCAATGACATATCTCACTAGGGACTAATCTCCAAAACATTAAAATCTTCAAAATATCAACAAGAAAAAGTAAAACAACTTAATTTTTAAAATGAGTGAGGGCATAAAAAGAGACTTCACAAAAGAAGACATTCCAATACCACCACCACCACCCCAAAAACAATACATGAAGAACTGTTCACAATCATTAGCTAGTAGAGAGATGTAAATCATATCACACCAGCAAAATGCAAATGTTTAATAAGACAGCAAACAACAAATAGGGCAAGGGTGTGGAGAAATTGGAACTCTTGTATACTGTTAGTGAAAATGAAAAATGGTACAACTACTATGGCAAGCAGTCTGTTTTTTCCTTAAAAGGTTGAAAACAGAAATACCAGTTAATTTGGTAACCCCGCTACTTATGTATACATCCCCCCAAAATAAGAGCTATGACATGAAGGCACACAGCTATGTTTACAGCAATATTATTTACAATAACAAAAAATGAAAACAAACCTAGTGTCTATCAGTGGATGAATTGATAAAAAAACTATGGTTCTTAAATACTTTGAAATATTAAAGAATAAGAAGGAATTTGCAAAATCGTGTATTCATTTATTAATCTAGAGGATATTGTGATGAGTGAAATAAGTCAATCATAAAAGGATTTTCAATTCTTTTTTGATCATTCGAATATTAGATGATTTCACTATTTTAAAAAGCTAAAGAAAATTTTACATATAGAAAGAAAAATTTTTGGATGGTTATCAGAGATGAGAAGGGAGAGATTGTTGTTGTTACAAGAACATTTAGTAAATAAATAATAGACACACATTAGGATGAAGGAAGGAAGAGGTATAATAAGGAGTTTTTTAGTACAGTTAAAAAGCCCTCTGAAAGCTAAATAATCAAAGAATGTAATGTAAAAACAGTAATCTCAAGTGTTATTAGTCCTACACTTGCAACAGTGTCAACTGGGCATAATGAGACGTCTTCATCACAAATCATTCCATTTGAATATTTAATCATTTATCTGTGCTATTGGTACCAATGGATAGGTTTGTTTCTGAGGTATTCTCTTAACTTTGAACTATTCTAAAGAAACAGAATGTGCTGGACCATTTTCTGGGAAATAATCTCACAAATGTGTGCCACTTGGACACAAAAAAAGCATCATAAAAAGGAGGTCAACTCATCACCACTATAGAAAAAGAAGCTGGTCTCCTCCCTTTGAGTCATTGGTCATTTCTATGTGCAAAGGAAAAGATCTTCATGTGGAAGAGATATATAGAAAGGAGTTCAAGAATGATGCTTAGAGCAATTCAAAGGATAATTAGTCATCTTGTGAAAATGATTGAAGTGCTGTAATCTAGGACTTTTATTGCACAATATCTCACAGGCATTTGGCATAGGAAACTGCTCTGTGTTAACGAGAAGACAAATTAGATGGCTCAGGTCTTTCCTATCCATCTGTATTTCTATCTCTGCTTTCAGTGATTAATTTCCAAACTTGATGATAAATATAGAACTAAAGTAGTTCCTTCTGCTAAGGTTGAATGATTCTGCCATTCTAAATCTCTGTGCTGATTGTCTTAACTTTTTCTCATATTATATTCTATTATAAAGATAAATTTTAAGGAGAAAGATTTTAAGAAAATAAAAACCCCAAACCGTGAATACTGCCCATACGTGGAATCTGATTCATATCAAACCTGTATTAGGTTTCCTCGGCTATATATCTTTATAGAAGGTGACTGCCTCTCTTTCTCATGTATGCTGGTGGATATAAACTGTCAACTTTTGGATAAGCAAGCCCAGAGCATTACACACTATACCATTAGGGATCCTGTGAAGGAACTATAACTCTTTAAGAACAGTAACACTGAGTATTTGTGTAAAGAATTTTATCAGCATCTATGATAGAAAAATATTGTGCTCAACTACTAACCTAAAGGTTGGTTGAGTAGAGCTCACTTTAGTGACACCATGAGAGAAAGCATTGATGATCTACATCTGTGAAGATTATAGTCAAGAAACTCTACTCTGCAGCAAACGGTATCACTATGATTCAGAATTGATTTGCAGGAATGGATTTGATTTGTTGTTTTATTGTAGTATGGATACTTTAAAAAAAATTAACTGTACATTCAACTGGAAATATATGATCCTGATCAAATAAATTCATTGTCTTAGGGTGAGAGGTGGGCAGGGAAATACTTGAACCTATCTGGAGTGTGGGTAGTATTCTTTCAGGTAAAGACGTGAGTAGAGTAACCTGCATGCCCAGAAGTCCAGACTCGTGGAAGGGCTTATAGCATGCTCAAAAAATGATGGCTGGAGTGTTGGGGCATTTTGACAAAGAGGTGAAATTGAAGGAGATGATCTGTGAAAAATTACAAGGAAGCTGGCTGCTCTTCTGAGGAAAATGGAGGGCCAACAAAAGTCATGAGTATCTGTGATGACCTTAATCTTCTTTATTTCTCCCATTTTCTGTCAAGGCAAGATAGTCATCTGATGGATTGGTTCAAATATCATTGCACAGTTCCTGCTTTCTGGTGCATATTTAGAACACTATGCTGAGTAGTGAATAAACATTTTCAATCTGGCTGGAAGCCCTCTATCTCAG